TATAGGGAGAATTGGTGCTCTGACTGTATCTGCAGCTGACACTGGCCTCACCTACATCTCCCTAGAGGAAAGGCAAACCCAGCTGACTTCTGGGACAAACAAGCCCAAACTCTGCAACGTGAAGTCAAAGTGCCTGTGTGCTGGGGCATGTCTTGGCCCTATGCACTCCCTGGAGAAGGTGTCACATTCCAGCCCTGCAGAGCAGCAAGGACTGTTCCCTGCCCAGTAGCCAGAGGAGTGCTGGAGTAGCTCCTGTCCAGGGGGAGAGCAGGGATTGCTGCAAGTATCCAAGTTCTGGCTGGAGTTTGTTTGATGGTTTATGTTTTGCTTTTTGGGGGGAGTTTGTTGGGGTTTTTTTAGCGAATTCTTGAATAATGTTCCTTTTTTAGCAAAATAGAGACTGGTGCATCCCCTGCAGGCAGGGATAAAAGCCTTCAGTTCAGTGCCTGCAGGGAGAGGATCTGGAGTGTGTTCAGAGAGCTGCTACTGCTCATGGTGGGAAAGTGCTTGCAAACCCTGGAAGGGAGCCAGTGTAAATATGCCCTTTCCTCTGCTGCTTCTCATGCTGGAGCTGCTGAGGGCCCTGGAGCAGGCACAGTGTTGCTTTTGCTTCTCCAGTCTGTTCTGAATGCCTTGTACTGAAATATCCCTCCTGTGTCTTGAGCAAGGAACTGGCCTGGGCCTGCCAGCAGCCTGTGCTGGGTGGATGACCACCACAGAGCCTGCACCTGCCAAGACCAGGGGTTAAATTCCCTCCTCACCTAGTCAGTCTCCTCACACAGGCAGGGGCACTGGCTGGGCTGAGTTTCTCTGCCTTGTACAGATAGGGGCAGTACCCAGTTAGGGTACTGGTCTTTGTTTTCTCCTTGCTGTAGAGCTGCCTAAGGGTCTCTTCCCTGGCTTGTCTTTCAGGTTATCTATTAGCCATTCTTCCCTGTGGGGGTACTTGTTCTGCATCAACTTTCTACTCTTAGCACCTAGAACATTCCCCTTTGCTAAGCCTCCTGCTGTCTTATTGGCCTCTGATCACTCCCTGGTCCAACCTGTGTACTGACACCAGAGCTTCTGTGTGGTGCAGGGGGTCTGGGGCCATCAGGATGCCTTGTGGCAATGTTTGCTAACTTGAGAGAGAGCTGTGGGTCAGTTTGGTCCCATTTTCCTCTTTTATGCATAGGGGATCCTGTGCAAAATTTTTAGCTTTGCTTTTGTTGCTGGTGTTCCCTGCCTTCTTTTTTGTTGATGCTTGTCAGGTGCAGGCCTGGGGTTTTCACAGTTCACATATTTTCTTCTAATCTGCACCAATCTTATATTTCACAGTTTGCACTTTTTGTATTTCAATAAAAATCAAAATGTAATCCCATACCCAGGTGTTATCTGTCAAGTGGCAGCAGCTCTGGCACATCTACAAGAAACAGAAATAAGGCCAACTATGCTGCCAACTTCAACCTTGCTGAGCGGGAGGAAGGAGTATGAAATGCTTCCTATGTCAGTGACTCTGGGAAGAAATACTCATTTGCAGGAGCCCTGGGCTGGAAACAGAATTCAAACAAAAGTGAACTATTACAACTTTGGCCCTTTACTGAACATGTTATTGTCTCCCTGTCACGAACGGTCTGCATAGGATTGCTCTTTCCAAGAAACAGACCTAGCCAGATGCACGGGTTGTGGTATCACCAGGTGCCAAGTGGGTGCCACCTGCAGACTCTCCAGTTAGGACTAGCCAGCTAATTCTGTCCTGTGGCCAGGCAGTACACTGAGAGGTGCAGGCCTCTGCTGTCTGTATGTGGATTGCTGACTCCCTGATGTACAGTAGTCTGGTTAGGGCCACTACACCCCACTCCTTGATCCATATACAGTTAACTACCTTTTCCTAAAGGCTCTGTAATTTGCTGGTTGTATCAGTAAGTTTTTTGGCTAGTAGAAAAGCTCTTATGCACAGTTGATTAGTACAATTAATAATGCAAGTTGTAGCAACAAGGGAACCCACTAGTGAATGCAAGGAGTAGAAGGGAGAGCACTGGAGCCAAAAGCAGCAGCCTGAGCCTTGGCTACTGGCCTTGTCTGGTTGATGTGTTAATGCTGGTGTCAACATTTCTAAATTTCTTGTGTTTCTAAAACTCTGCTGCTTTTCAGTTTTTATTACTGATAAGCTGTCTAAGTAAGACCTTTCCAGTGTTGCCAATTCTCTGGCATGTTGACACTGACCCCTCTAACAGGGTCGGTGTGGTCCACATGCCAACTATACAGTGAGATCTCAAACCTCCTGTGAGTGCAGCAGTTGGTTCTGCCGCTGGGCTTGGTCACAGTGACCTGCTTGTCACTGTGCTGTAGCAACATCTGCTCTGGCCTCAGAGGAGCTAGAGAGCAGGTGTGTCCATCCCTGACAGGAAGCTGTTGTTGCCAGGACCCACAACCACATGGGCAGTACTGAACACATCATAAATGCCACTGCAACTAGATGTGTTTTCATGAGCAGCTGCCCTGTGGCCTTATGAACGTTATTCTGAGAACACTTTCCTTTCTACAAATGCATGTGGTAGGTTCATAATGGGATGTCATTTAATTGTTCATTACCTCAGTGATTAATCATACTTCTGTGACTGTTTACGTTTTCGCTTATTTGCTGATAGTTTTTTTCTAGTCTCGTTTTACTGGTGGCATGGTGTGAAAAGGGTGAATAGTGAAAACCATGTAGTAAACCCCAGATTACACAAGATGGTTTCTGTGAGTTTGCCAGCAATTCCTCTCTGTCCCCACTGTACATTGTCTTTATGGGCATGAAATGATACTCATAAATACATACACACATATATACATATACATAATGTAGATAGACCAGTATCTATATGGATGCAGTTTATTTTTACCTCCTGAAGATGTGATTAAGTAAAGATTTCAATAGTTACCCTTTTACCCTAAGCTAGAATATTTCCCCTCATAGGGAGCTTCCAATATGCACAGTCATTTTTTCCATTCCTGCCATTTCATCCATTGTGTCTTTTTTTGTAATAGACACTCTTTACCCTTCAGCTTAAATCAGCAGTTGTTACACTTACACATATTGTTACCATCTTGTCTCTTTTAAAGGGAAGGTGTTGGCACCCTACATGGCATTGTGTAATATATTGGGCTAACTTTAAGCAAGACTAGAATACAGCTGTTAAGTTTGGTTATTCTTTCCACATCTTATTAGTCTCTTCTATTAGATCAAAACATCCACATGGTTCTTCAGTCATGTAGTAGCAACCAAGTACAATGCACATTCTGCTGGGGGGGGGTGGTGGTGTCCCTCCCCACCCCTTTCCTCTGGGGACAAGTTAAAATTTCAGTGCGAGCAGGACATCCAGATAATTTGGTTTCCCAACTCACAGGTGAGGTCACCAGGGTCAAACCCTGTGTGATTGTCTCCCCCCTTCACTTGGAACCAGCCAGGCACCTGTTCTGACTCTCCCTTGCTATCCTTGCAGTAGGTTGGTCTCACTAGGATCCCACTGACTGCTCCAACTGTAATCTACCAGTCCATTTCACCCTCTCTGATGGAGGCAGGACCCTGCTCCATCCTGCACTCACTGACAGGCAGCTCTCTGACCATCCTGTTTCCTGGAGGAGACAGAGTGCGAGGCTCGGACTGTCCCAGACCTGTGGGTACACAGGGAGGAAAGCACAGAATGTTGCTTACATAAAAGTTTTATTGGAAATTCTTTGAATATCTGAAGTACATTGGAGACTTTCCAAAACAATACAATTAAGGAGCCCTCCCCTTCACCCAAAGTGTCTGTAAATCAGCAGCTACATACGTCCTTAATATCCGATTGAGCAGACAGCTGCTAAATTAAACAGCCTTCATAACACGACCTGTGGCAGGCCACAGCAGCAGCTAGATCTTTCCTGAAGCAGAGCATTTGTGCAGTGGTCAGGGAACTCAGAGCCTATATGTAGCAACTATGTGTTGAAACTGAGGAATGTCCAGAGAAGAGGCACATAACTCAGGCCTGGAGAATCTCTTATTGCTATGGCCATCCAGCTCAACACTAGCAGCTTATATAGGCAATTTTCCAGCCTTCTGAAGTAGAAAAAAAAAAGTGCCGCACTGACATTCTGCCATGAGAGATGTGGGAGCTGTAGCCACGTCAGGAACTACATCAACAAACAAGCACAAGCACAAGTGCTGACCTGGGCAAGATTAGCAAGAATGGCATGTTCTCTGCCAGCTTCATAGCTTGCCAGTGAGAGAAGAGCACAGCAGTAGTGCTGGCTAGGTGAAGTTCAACCTAGAGTAGTATTCTCCATTCCTGCAGTGTGAACCAGCACTTTGCCTCATCTCTGCTGCTCTGCAGCTTAAATAGTATCACTTCAGAGAAAAGTGACAACCACTTCTCTGTGAGCTACTTCCTACAAGGTGGCAGAGCAACTTCCTGAGCAAGGGTGAGAGCCAGCTGATCCATTAATTCCTTATGTTCCTGCACCCTTCTGCGACCCTTTCCACCTGTAAAACAAGGTGGCTCTTGCTGTGGGGATAAGTATTGTTAAAGTCCATATAACTTAAGCCCTCCTGTGAACTGTTTATCTTGGAAGTTTTCTTAAATGTATGTGCACCTTACTTTGCCAGGACAAAGCAATTTCCATGAGAGGCTGCTGAAAAGCTGAATTGGTTAAGATTAGAAAGTTCTGGTGGGTAACTTTCCTTCAATAAAGCTCTTGCTTAGAGTTTTAGAGCTCAGGTGGTCTCCCACCAAACACATCACTCAGCAAAAAAGCTGGTAAAGTTCAAAGAATTGCACTGCTCTGACCTTACAAGCTCATCTTATCCAAGTTTAATATTTAGTGTTACTGTTTCTCCTCCCATCATCCCGGCAAAAGACACACAACAGCCAAATCAACCACAGAGTGCTGCCAGCCAGTCACACTGTCCCTAGCCAGATCATTACAAAAATAAAATTTCAGCTAATCAAAAGCCAGCTGATTAAAAAGTACCATAGGCTTCCCAAAAAATGTGCTTCTTTAAAGAAGCTGCCTTCTGAATGGCTGAAGAACACTGCAAATTCATCAATGCCTATCAGAAAACAGCTTTTTACCAAGTCCCTGGCACTCCACTACACTGATGTGCGCATTTCATTCTATCAGTGGGCCCTGACCAGATGTAATGGACACACAGTCCCCAAAACAGAGTACAATATTAATCAAAGCTGTCTTAGAAAAAAAATATCTTGGATCTCTTCCTGCAAAGAGAGACCAGTCTCACTGGCCAGGGTTCCATGGCACACTTGCTCTATGCAGTGATCCAGGGCAGAATGACCCGCACTACTACATGAAAAACAGAACATATTTTAAATATAGGTTTCTTTAAAAGCAATAAATATTTCTTAAGATCATCTATTAACCATAAAGCAGGAAGGTTTGCAAGGATTAGAGGAAAGAATCTTGGACTAAGACTCCTAGTTACATAACCCTAAAGAAATAGGATTCCTAGTATTTACAGTTACGTTTCAGAAGCAGAGACTATGAATTCAGCATCATCACAGCTGCTACGTGCAGACTTGCCCACAGCCAACACTGTTAAACTCAGCATGGTCAAGTGTCAGTACACTCAGCAAGGAAATGTGGAAAGTGCTTCTGTAGTTTCACTCCTGCTTACCAGCCAACCTAGCAGGAGGCCTCAGACAAAATGACTGTGTAGAGACCCAGTTCCTTTGAAGAACAAAGGTAACTTATATTACACAGGTCCCAAAGCTGATGTCTTTCCCTGGGCTCCAGGCACACACACTGAAGTCAGGATGAAATGCCCCATTCTGTGCAATGGATGTCCTGGACTTAAAACTGTTGAATCTGCTGAACTCACAGACCCTGGAAATGAGCCAAAGCTTTTTATGCTCTAAGGGGATTGGAGACTGTAGGAAAAAGTCTGTTAGCAAGAAGCTCTACCTAGGGAACTTACACCACAGCACCCCTGGAGGAAGCATATGGCAACCTTTCACAAAGCCCCTCCACACAGAACAGAGACTGAGGAGAAAATAAATTTCATACACTGGAGTTTGACTTCCTGTTGTCCCTACTGAAGTCTTAAATTCAAACCTGACTGTGAGCAGGAAAAGCAGTCCAGAGCCATGCGGTGGTGAAACTGAGGAAAATCAGCACATGAGCTGTATCTGCCATTCAAGAGAGCAATCAAAGAAAGCTCACTTGATGGAAAGAACTAGTCAACATGAGACCAAGGCAGAGCAGGGACGACAGGGATATTTGCTGACATCATCTCCAGGATGCCTTGAAGAGGAAGAACTGCCACAGCAAAACTGGGAAACAGCTTCACTGCAAGGTTTCCACAAAGGCATCAAATTCTTTGACGTTTTTCTCATGGACTGCCAGCTTCTCTGGTAATGAGTCCTGAAAGGGTAAAGAAAGGTGCAGATTAGGGCTCATTCACAGCAGACAGAAGGAAGCTTCAAACACAGACACTAGGATAAAAGGTCTGTTTGCTGAGCCATGCAACCTCTCTGCTCTGCTGCTCTGGGCTCCCCTTCCCAGGTGCACAAAACCAGGAGTCTTCTGAAAAGGGCACTCTGCCCAGAGTCTGTTCTGCAAGAATAGTAGGTGCACTGGGGGCTCACCTTGTGCAATCCCTGTCACCAGCTGCAGCACAATAACCTGCCCATATCATTGCCTTCAAGTCACTTGCAGCTCTCAACCTTTGGTATTCATTCTTCTCCACAGTATGTTACAATGCCAGAGAGCCCAACAAAGCACTCACCCAGACATGACTTTCACCAGCTACACCAGGATTTTACCTCTCCTCAGGCTGCAAGATCAGGCCTGGCCTGCCACCGAATTTGACACCTCAGAGGTAGGATTAGTTCTGGGGGTTTCAAAGACAGCCAGAGCATGCAGCAGCAGCTTTCAGCTTCAAGATAAACACACCAGTCTGAGGTTCAGGTGTGCCACAAGTGAATCTGCATTTGTCTGGAACATATTAGTGAGGGACCTGCTTTGAGCAGGGTTTCTCTCCTGAGAAGTACATGAAAGACATGGGCCTTTTGGAGCAAGTCCAGAGGAGAGCCACAGAAATGATCTGAAGGCTGGAGCACCTGTCCTGTGAGGACAGGCTGAGAAAGCTGGGGTTGCTCCACCTGCAGAAGGGAAGGCTCCAGGGAGACCTTATTGAGGCTCTTCAGTGTTACAAGGGAGTCTATAAGACAGACCTCTTAGTAGGGCCTGCCGCAATAGGACAAAGGGCAATGGCTTTAAACTAAAAGAGGGTAGATTCAGGCTAGATATAAGGAAGAAATATGTTTTTGAAGGTGGCGAAACTCTGTAGCAGGCTGCCCAGAGAGGTGGTGGATGTCCCATCCCTGAAAACATTCAAGGCCAGGTTGGACAGGGCTCCAAGCAACCTGGTCTAGTTGAAAATGTCCCTGCTCATTGCAGTGGGTTTGACTAGACAACCTTTAAAGGTCCCTTCCAACACAAACTATTCTATGAAGATGTTTTTTTCAAACTAGGAATAAGGAAAACAGAAATTTCTGGATTCCATACCAAATCCTCTGCCATGGACTGCGCTCCAATGTCAATGGAGAGACTGCTGAGTTGAGGGGGGTTCTGAAACTCACGGTAAAATGTCCCCAGGTCCATTGGAAGAATGTCATCTTTCGAAAATGCTGGTTTCTAGAATCAAAGATACTGCTGTTAATTCCCAGAGACATTGGATTCCCTTTTGCTATAATCTGAGGCAAAGGCATTACCTGCTATTAGTAAATATCTTGGCATTACAAATGTCACTGCAATAGTGCATATTAAATAACTGAAGAACAGCCAAGATCTGTGCTTGCTTGAGCAGCTGGAAGAGAACATTACTTTGGAACCTGACTCCTTTAGGCAGTAAAGAGAAGATGCCATGCGCAGGTGTTCTTAGGGAATTGAAACTGTATTTAATTTGTAGCTGTTGGTTCCCAGTTTCAGGACTGTCAAGTTAGTTAGTAACTGTGTATTGAGCCCTTTCCACTCCCATTGAAAACATCATTTGTCATCACACCAGCAGCTGAATCCCACCTAAGATGTAAGTATTACGTAGGAGCACTGATGAGGGCACTTACAAAGTCGACCATAACAAAGTCATCATGGGTGTTCCCTGTGCTGCTGCCAGTGGAGCCCTCTGAGTGTAAACTGCCTTGTAGAGGAGACTCAGTTTCTGGGGAGTCAGGAGGATTGACCTGCCCAAGAAATCAAAGAGATGGTAAGTACTGATCTTATGACCATGTCTGTGTATTTTGACAGTGTGGAGTCAGTCAGGAGGTTGGACAATAAACATACTACAGCGGGGGCAGCAAACACATGCTGTTATTTGCATGTCTAGAGAGCTCAAGACTCAATGCAGGAGACTGCTTGAAACCAAACAAATCTGAATAACTAGTTATTTTCTAAAAAAAACCAAAATATATTCAAGGCAGAGAATAGCATGGCTGTTTGCCTAAGGGATGCTGAGAAGGCACATATACCTCTGGAAGAGGCTTACCATGGGGTCGTTATCTTCCAGCTCAACATTCTTGGGAGCAAACATGGCAAAAGGAATGTCTAAGTTGGCCATGGTCACCTGAGGAGATTCAGCAAACACAATTTCACTAAGACACTCTGCTTACCTAGCACAGAAAAGGATATTGAACGTCTGTGTCAGGACAGCTAAAAACGGCCCAAGACCACGTTTGCAGCTAGGCAGGAGGCTGACAAACTCGTTTAAAAGGCATGATACTCGGCTCACTTAATGCAGATACATATCCTGAGGTGAGATTGCTTATACAGATCTTGTACAATACAGACAAGGATTAACAAACTGCTACAAATTCAAACAATTCTCCATCCATCCAAAAGGCCTAGAACACTAGCCCTAGGAACTGGGCAGATGTCTAAGCTGCCCTAGCTTAACTTAAGTGCTTGCTTACTAGTGATGAAGTGGTCTACTGCATGTCCCATCAAGGAACAAGTCCTCTACTGCATGTCCCTTAAAGGGACTTGCTACCAGCTTCCCCAGTTTTTCAGTCTGTGGTAGTGACAGACCGTTGCAACACCCAAGTGGAGTATCAAGTCTTCTGTTCTCAAATAGGGTGTTGGCAAAGTGGGACAAATTCAGTGGCTGTCACATCCCAAAAGGATTTTATGAAAAACAAGCTATGGCAAAACGTTATAGTGAAATGCAGCAGGCAGAAGTATGTACTCTAAGTCTCTGGGGTTGCCCTGGCATTGTGTTCTTTTTGCTCCTCTGTGTAGGAACAGATAGGAGAAGGAGGGTATTATGGTGCCCTCTAAGATCTACTGGTTAATGGGTTACCTGGTTAATGGGTTTGTTGACAAAAGCTCCCACCTTCCGGACAAAGATGGTCTCCAAAAGGTCATGTGGGGAGCCACACTTCCCTTCACTGCTGTTTGATACTGTTTCTGTGTCCTCACTGTGGAAGGAAAATACATAATTAATGACTCATGGCACAAAGGATATAGACACATCACATGCTTTATAAGACTCCTTCATTTTTTCTGTGTTTACTCCTAATACTGGAAGAAGGACCACAGAAATCTCTGCCCTTGTACCACACCTTTCTCCTCAGTCATGAAGACAAAACAAGAGTGGTCACTCGTGGAATCAGATTTTTGTTTAAAGCTGCACAAAAACTATTTAGTTGAACAAAAAGCTACTGCCAACTAGAACAGACTCTTTTTGGAGATGGAATTTTAACTTCAGGTGTGCACGTTCACTGCAATTCCTATTCACTATTATTTTTTCAGTAACACAGTAGTCACAGATCTCTCAGGAGGTTAGTGCATGAACCAGAATTGGATCTGTCACTCAGTTTACACAGGCAGCAGTCTAGTACATCACAACAGCCACTCCCAGTATGATTAATTCACTGCACAGCTATTAGTTACTTCTATGACCTATTTGTTGGGGTTTTTTTCCTACCACAGGTATTCAGAACTTTAAAACAAAAAACATGGTTTAGCCTCACAGAAAGAGGATTGCTTGGGTAGCATACCCAGGAAAGTGCTAGCGCAACCAAGTTTTGGTTTCCTCATAGCCAAATCTCTGCTTAAAATACATGATTCAGAACTATGTGACCCCCAGAGAGCCTCCACAAGAAATAAACATGACAACCAAAAAAAAAAGGAATTGATTAGCTGGGAGGGAGGTAATTTAGGACAGTTTGAAATTGCATTGTTTCCTTTTAAGTAATTTTGTGCCTAAACTTTCTTAATAAAATGATCAGATTTGCAGTAACTACAACTCATTTTGGTAACAACACACATTAAGGCTCTGGAGAATTTAAGACTCGTTTGTGAACTTACTTAATCTTGTTTTATAATCAGCAAAACCAGCAAAGAGATTAAAAAAAGAGAAAATTGATAATAAAATTAAAGTTGACAGAACAGAAGGATGTTTCACTGACTAGCAAGTTTAAATAGATAGGCAAGATCATTATTTGGAGAAAGGTTGAAAAAGCCCCAATCAGAGAAAGCTGCTAGTTGTTTGGGGAGGATGGAAATACAATAGTTATGCTACAAACAATAGATAAAAAAGAGAAAACAAAAAGGTTTACCTTAATAGGATTATAAATGAGTTAGCACAAGTGGTGGATCATCTAAAACCAACCTACCTACTAGAAGGGGTAGCTGCTGAGTAGTGGACTCCATCCAGTGGGGTGCACAACCTCTCCTGGTCAGCTTGAGTGCCATGTGCTGGCTGGCTAGGAACTGGGGGAGCTCCCCCTTCTTTGGCTGGACCAATCAACTGAGATGAACAGGAACAGTCGTGTTAGAGATCTCAAAATCAATACCAACACCACAGTGCAATACAAAGCAGATTCCATTATACTGGGCCTAAGTTGTTGGTTTTTTGGCATGTGACTGAGCTCTAGCCCCCATGAGGCTGAGAGAGGTGACAAGTAGAAGGTGATCACCATGATACAAAGTCTTTTCTTTATTCTCCACATCAGGCCTGCAGAACTCTGGCCATAGGTCCTCTGCTTCAAGGAGAGGAGTGGGGAAAAAATTAAATCCTCTTGCTACAACCTCATGGCTTCCTACAGCTACCTGAGAAGGGGAAGTGGAGAGGGAGGTGCTGAGCTTTTCTCCCTGGCATCCAGTGGTAAGATGCATGGGAATGGTTCAAAGCTGCCCCAGGGAAGGTTTAGACTAGACATTCGGAAGCATTTCTTTGCCAAGAGGGTGGTCAAGCACCGAACAGCATCCTAGAGAGGCAGTCAATGCCCCACACTGTTAGTGTTTAAGAGGCATTTGGACAGTGCCCTTAATACCAGGCTTTAACTTGGTCAGCCCTGGACTGGTCAGGGAGCTGGACTAGGTGATCACTGCAGGACCCTTCCAACTGAAACTGTTCTATTATCACTGTGTCAGCAAAACTCTGGTGTAGCAGCAACATCACAGGCAGAAAAGGACTTCTGTCAACTTTGCTTATTTTTCTGATGGACAAATACAAATACGCCAACATGGACTGTCAGCATATCCTACATCTAGGCTACAGTGCTGTGTTTGGACAGCTACAGGGGCAGCAGCTCTATAAGGCAGGCAAAGTTGGGAATTTGTGACTTGCTGGTGCAGGCAAACTGGTCTGGTGCCTGTTCTCTCAGCATAATTTTTCCACATGACCCCTACCTAAGTAAAGTTAGGGATGCTGAGGAGCCAATTCCCAGTTCCTGTGGAAGTTGTGCTTTCTCTGTATTTACCTTGTATTCTTTTCACTCCTGACAGACAGGAGACCAATGCATGCACTAGTTTCAATGCCTCTCCCAGGTGTACAAGTGACACAAATGGTTGCAACACCAGCCACGCTGGTTCTACTCTCTACAAATACCTGGTGAGGGTGTGCAGCATTCAAGCCACCAGCAAAGAGTACAGGACACCCCATGTCAGCTGATCCAACTCCCAAGGCAGCAAGCTGATAGGAAAGACGAGAGCTGGAAAGCTAAGAAAGAAGAGAAAAAACAAGAAGGGCAAAGGGAGAGGAGAGAGGAAGGGGAATGTCCCACAGTCTGAATAATCACCAGTCACTGAAGAAGGAACAGGAAGAGTCAGAGGCACAGCATTTCAGGCTGGCAGAAGGATGTTAGATTGCCATTGGAATCAATTATGAAGATTATTACTCTAAGAAGTTCTTATTGTTAAGAGGACTACTTAGATAGTAGTCCAGGGGACTGGACAAGAAAACAAGACTGGCTTCCTACACAGGTAGGAGGAGGCTGTGCAAGGTATGACTGACATCCAGTCACAGGGAAGCTCTGCTCTACAGGCCTGTTTCACATACTGGAAAAAGCAGGAATTCCATCATTAACTTATTAAAGAACTAATACTTAGTATTTTTTTCATCCCAAAGCAACTACTGTTTGAACCTACTCCCACTGCACATTGAAACAGCTGATCTTCCAGGCCTGTTCAAATAGCTTCAGTGAAAGAATACAGAGGTCCCATAAATGTGCTAGGTAAAGAGAAATGGGAAACTAACCCTTGTGAGACTGCTTTAGGAATGAAGTGTTAGAAGCAGTGAAGCCCCAGATATATTCCTCACACACCCCAGGTAGAAATCTACATAGTCAGGTTAAATAAAACTTTTGTGTTCTGGCCTGCTTGACCTCAAGAGGAACACTTCTTTTGGATCTCAGTGTGAGCTCCAGCAGCATCAGTGCTGACATCATTTACAGGGGTCAGAATGATGAACAGCACTTTTATTCACATTGAGTGGAGCACTAATGACTGTACAGGTTCTAGGGACAGACTGGTAACAGAAAACACTCAGAACTGTGCCTTACTACTTGTGTCTTTCACTAACAATCTTTCCCAGCTGTTGTTTGTTTAGAGGTGCTTGTTCTGCCTTTGGGAGACCCAAAGGCATTTAAGAAGCCAGTCTCACTAATGTGCCTGGCCCATAGTGGGTTCACCAATCTTTTCCACGCACAACAAACATTCCACATTGTCAAATTTGTACTTTTCTGTATTTGTTTTGTCATGCCAGAACTCTTATGTGGCACATATAGCATAGTCTATTGACAACTCACTTGATGTGAAAAGGCCAGTCCCATCACTGGGACTTTCAAGGTGTCCGTCACCACTGGAGGAGGGGTCTGAAAATGTGCCTTTGTGACAGTAAAAACACACTGTGCACAGACACAGACAAACAGAGGAAACAAGGAAAAGAGAGAGTGAGAGAGGGGGAGAGAGAGAGAGAGAAGGACTTCAGAGAAAAACTATGAAGAGCTGGATGAACTGAATGCTAGTGAAGAGGTTTTGGCTGCAGCAGCCACACCTACACATAGAGCAGAAGTCTCAGTATTGCCAGAAGTACATTCATTTTGTAAGGGATTGACTGTTTTCTAATCTCAGTGAACTACTCAACACAGGTAATATTTCAGACTTCAGTGAACCCTGACAGAAAGTAACTGCCAGAGACTCTGTCCCACAGCTAATTACAACTGGTACCAGCCAATTAGTAAGGAGAAGGCTGAGTGGATGCCAGAGAAAGCTGAGTAATATTTTTTTACATTTGTAAATTACATGTATTCTAATACTCTCCATCCATCCATACTCCTCCTCCAGCTTTCTGAGGGATCATACCTTGGCAGGTCTATGCTGTACCCTTAGAATACAGGAGATGCAGACTACAGTGCAATTCAAACTTCCAAAGTGTGAAGAGAGAACTTTATCAACAGGAGCAAAGCTCCAGAAGTAAACAGTCTCAGCGGTTACCAGGGCAATCCAAACCTGGATCTGTCCCATACTTCCTCACAGTCATTTTCCTACCAACAGTTTTCACTTCTAGGAGAGCTTCAGCTTCATTTCTGGGTGTTCCTCATGGCCAGACTATCTCTTGAATTTTGGCCTAGTTCGCAACATGAACACACATGCTATGCAAGCTCACAGCAAGAAGGTAACAACTATGCCTTTGTATCATCTAGATTACGCCTCGCTTTTACGGAGAGGGCAGGTAGAGATTTGAACAATTTGCCTAGAAAACCACACAGTTCCGAGTATCTTACTATACATTAAGTTATATACAGAAAGCTGGAGAAATAAATTTACTTCAAAGTCCACTCTGCCAAGACAGACTTAAAATTCTAATTGTGGTAACAAAGACTGGCAGTTGCTTTATAAGTAAGGGCACAGAATATGGCAACTATGAGCCACAGGAAAAGCAAGAATGTAGGTTCATACTTTATGTGAATCCTGGAGGTTTGTGTAGTTTCATAAAGCTTTTCCCCCTCAGTGACAGCAAAGCTTCATGACCCCTGGGGAAGTGTCAACTTCAATGTAGTTACATACACTATTACTGTTAAGTAGCACTGGCACAAGCAAGCCAGTGGAAATTTCCTTATGAAACCTCGTTTTTAACCCATTTTAAGAAAAGGCAAGACAACTCAGCCACAGAGTCATCTCCTGAACTGTGTATTGCAGAATAAGAAAAGCTTTATTCCATCAGACTTACCATGAGTGCTGGCCAATTGGTTCAATACTGCCTGATGCCCTGTCACCCAAAATCCACTTGGCACAAAAATGCTTCCTAGGAAAAGCTCATTTCTAGCTCACTCACACAGTAGAATACATTCTGCTAACCAGCCATACTAATTCCTCTGAAGCAGTGGAAAGACCCATAGCAAATTTTTTCAGTTTCAAACAGCATTCCAGTTATACTTCATTCTATGTTTCACATCGACAGCAAAAGAGATTTAGAGTTGAGATTATGTTTAAAGATCAGTAGAGCCACCTGCTTGGCTGGACAACAAGGCAGGGCATGTTATGTAAAGCGACAACTACAACTCTGGCCCAGTCTTCAAAATACAGAACTGTGAAGTCAGACACATAGCACAGTAAAAGAAGTTGGGAGTTTCTAGGGGTTTTTGATATTCAAATTTAATTTAAAATTGAAACTTAAATGAAATTTGCATGGTTAGGTGTAATTATAAAGTATTTAGTCTCCAGTTCAATATTATGACCCAATTGTTTTGCTGATATACAACTCTGGCCCAGTCTTCAAAATACAGAACTGTGAAGTCAGACACATAGCACAGTAAAAGAAGTTGGGAGTTTCTAGGGGTTTTTGATATTCAAATTTAATTTAAAATTGAAACTTAAATGAAATTTGCATGGTTAGGTGTAATTATAAAGTATTTAGTCTCCAGTTCAATATTATGACCCAATTGTTTTGCTGATACTTGTTCTTGCTGCCCCAACTAGTTTCAAGTGGACCAACAAATACAGCTTTTGCCTTTTTCCAGCATTTTCCTGGTATTTCAGTGTTTCTTTCTCCATGTCAGTCTGTTACCCCTACTTATGCTGCCTAGCGTCAATGTCTTGAAGTCCTCTTCTTGCAGTATCAGTATGTGAATGTGTAAGTGCACTGCTATCCTCTTCAAGCACATCTCAGTCCAGCTACAGGAGTAGGCTCTTCTAATCTTTCTAGGCTCCTAGAATATTGTTGAAATTAGTATCTAACTAGGTTTTACTCAGAGTGTAATGATATAAATAACCCAAACATTAAATTTTAATTAGCAGCAGGAGGCTGCCTGCACAACAGCTGATGTAGGAATATGCACATTACCCTAACAGTGATTGTTCTATCTAAGAGTAAAAAGTGCCTGGCTTCTCTTACCTGAGATGGAGGAGAGGTGGAAAAAGATGTGGTACACACTTCTTGGGAATCCTCTACTGAGGGGTAGACTGCACCATTGTCCTCACCAGCTCTAAAGGAGCAAGAAAAGAAAAGTTTCCTAACTGGAAACATACCTCAAAACAAACAAATACTAGAACGCACTGGGACAAGCACTGCAGGGAGGCCGAGAGTATTTGGGTGGAGTTGAATGGACAATTATGAAGGGCTCTCATCTGCTTGACAGAACTGAGGAAAACAAGGTATGAAAACTTTACTTTTCCCCAGGTGTTCATCTTCTGCTTCTACATAGGAACAGTTCCCTCTGTGTTTTTAACTAATGCTTTTTGTTATACCAGCTAATGCTACTGGCTTTGGTGTTTATAGAACCATTGTCAAACAACACCACTGGTCCCAGTCTGAGTGCCCTCACATGCATTTTGGAGAAGACAAACCTCTCATCTACAAAGAGAAATTAAACTCTGATCTTCCTCCAGTGGATACATCTGGAGATACATGCATCTGGACATGTAGTTCTATAGCAGGATTAACCATTACCCTCTCAAATTCCTGAAGGCAGAAAAGGTTAAGCATCCTTTGTGTCCAAGTGCTTCTGTAAGGAATTTGGGAAAATACTGAGGCTTGCAGCACTCAGTCTTCTAGACATGAAGAGGAAACCTTCCTCACATTCTCAACTATGTCAATATGACTGACACTAATCCTCCAGTGTCCCTTCCCATGCAGACAGCAAATAGTGGAAAAGGCTCTGTATTTGGGCATAACTGATGCCTTCACCATGGCCCATGGCTTCAACTCAGTATTTCCTCACCTGTAATTGCAGGGGTGCATGGGTGAAGAGCTGGGATAGGGACGGTCCACAAAATGATCAATTATAATCCCCATGATAGGAGGGGTCCTCTCAAACTGCCTGCAAGGCAACAAGCAATGGTGTTATTGGCTTTTTCTCTCTACTATCTTCTGAATTCATGGTGCCCTCACACAAAGCCCTTGTGTCTATTAATGGGACCAGAGCATCTTTACAATTCAGTCCTGTGACTCTGAGCACGCATCAACAATTTGAAGTTCTAGATCCTGGTTCAGGGCTACCCAAATACTCCCCTTGCTGCAAGACTTAAGCGTGACAGAGTGTATTCTCCATGAAGGAGAATCTCAGTGTAAAAGGATAAGCAAGAGGGAAAGATTTAGGGGCTCAGAATATGAAGGGTTTAATAGCACATTATTGTACAACACTTTCTGGCACGATCACATTTTCTCACCTGGTTGACATGAAAGCAAGGTTGATTCTGTAGGCACAAGACAAGGTGATGGTGCCCACCGGGGTACCCACTGTCCCAACACGGACTGTCTGGAAACCTATAAGGTTAGGGAATCATGATCAGTTTCACTGATTATTTATGTGCCATACTTTTCTATTCTGAAGTTACATTATCTTATTTATATAGTGTTCCCATTATCCCTTGCAATCTGAACTCCAAAGACACATACAAATCTTTGCTGGTTTTGGCTGGGGCAGAGCTAACTTTCTTACCGTGGCTAATATGGGGCTGCGGTTTGGATTTGTGCTGAACACAGGGTAGATAATACGGAGATGTTTTTGTTATTGCTGAGTAGTGCTTACAGAGACAAAGCCTTTGCTGATTTTTCTACTGTCACACTGGCAAGGAAGTTGGGGTGCACGGGAACTTGGGAGGAGACATAGCCAGGACAGGTGACCCTGACTGACCAAAGGGATATTCCACACCATAGGACATGCTCAGTATATAATGTGGGAGGAAGAAGGAGGAAGTGGGCTATGTTTGGAGTGATGGTGTTTGTCTTTCCAAGTAACCATTACACATGATGGGGCCCTGCTCTCCTGGAGATGGCTGAAC